AATTGAGCCGTTTATTTTGAAAGTGGCACAAGTCACTTTGTTTTTAAGTCGATATATTTAAGGGTTTGCGTTTTAACACGTTTAAAAATATGGATGCTAACTTTCGAGAAGATTTACTTGTATTTGTTATCTCAGGATACTGATATTTTTCTCAGTATAAATAATTTCGTATAAACATTAACAAATCACCACTTTTCATTACGGTAAAGTGACTTATGCCACTTTCAAAATAAACGGCTCAATTATAAGAACGAGTTGCTCAAATAATCGTATCTCTTCTTCCCAAATTGCCCATTTTTGTTTAAAAAGCTGGCGGAACATTCGGGAGAATTTACTATACTAGTTCAGGTAAAACAGAAGCTCGACAGGGATTCGCAAAATCGGGGATCGACGAGACGTTCGCTACGATCTACGTTCGCGTGAATCGAGTTCAGCTAAACGGAGCTCGGATAAACTGGAATTCCATCGTACTCGTCGCGTGAAAGAGCAAAGTTCGAAAATTTCATTTGCAACAGATTCGTCCGTATGCAAAATCAAAGCGTCAGAAGTCCAAGGAGAAGGCCGGAGATTCGGGGAAACGAGATTCGAGAGAATGGGACGAAAATTCTGGGAAGGGCACGAGTAATGTTCCGACAGGTTGGCAAAGGGTCGAAATTTCCAGGCAGCCCTTCGGCCGGTAATGGAGCCCCGGCTCCCCCTTTTCGGCCTCTGGTTAACTTTATTGTCAGAATCGCGTGGCGCTTGTAGTCCAGCGGCCAGAAAACCGAGCACTTACCAATCAAAGGGAGAAGACAGTGTTCGAGAGGGGGCGGCGCGGCGGCTCGTCGAGGCGAGGTGACGAGGGTCCTCTAATTAACAGCTTTGAAGTGGTACCGGGCCCGAGTTCTCATTACCGGCGGTCAGGTGTCCCGGCGATTACCAGCAGAAACGGGACTTTGCCAGTTAGCCGAGCAATCGTAGATGAAAATCACACGGGATTTGCCGGGCTCTCTCTCCTCTCTCTCCTCTCTCTCTCTTTCTCTCCTTTCTCTCTCTCTCTTTCTTTCTTCTCTCGCAGGGTTGGCAACCCTCGCGGAAGGGTGGATCGAATGGCTGTGTCGGGGTGAAGGAGCCTCTCGGGGAGCAAAAGGGGCCCGGGAAATGAGAGAACTTTTGTTTGGGGATGCGTTCGGTTTGTTTGGGAGCTCGGGCTTTTCGTTTTGGCGAGCTCGAATGTTGCGGGAATAGGGGATCGTGGCCCCGGCATGGAGAGAGCACGCCAGCCTACATCAATTTTAGGGTTAAAAGCTGCGTTTTATACACTGCACTTTATTTTATCCTCGCATTTTATTCGGAGCTTGCTGCACACATTGCGTCGTTCGCGTGGAACATATTTTCATTTCGTTCCGTTTCGTTTCATTCTTCGTTCTCTTTTGAACGTATCTTCGTCTTACGTTACGTTTCGAATGTGCCTCTCATTTTTTATTCGCTCCCTCATTTTTCATCCCGCCTCGAACGCGCTTTTATTCGATCCGACTTCGAGCGCAGCTCTGTTGTTTTTATAGGTTCCTTCGGGCGATTTTTCGTGCTCTGTTTATTAGTCGCAATAACGAGTCGGTAATTGTTTAATTTACGATTATTGAGATTGCACAGTTACATTTACATCGATAAACTAACGTAAGGCAGCTGCTTTTAGTGCCCCGTAAATCTAACGTTAACAGGCGTTCTGCTCGCGGCCTTTCAACCGCGATAAATAAATAAGCACAAGATAAAAAGTCGGTGGAGCAAACGGTGCAGAATGCACAGTTTCGCAAAGGTTGATCCAATGAAGCGAAACATCTCGTTGCGCGTCGCCGAAAAATTCATTTCTCGTGCACTGCTACTTCATTTTACATGCCAGAGAATGTACTTTTATTTCAGCTCATTCCGAACGTTTTCAGCTCGCGTTTCATTTCCGACCCATTCCCGTCTCGTTTCACCTGAAAACTGCATTTTTACTCGGCCCGATTCTCTCTTCATCGAATTTCGCTTTCGTGTTTCAGCATTTTACAGGTTCTTCTACTATTAACCGGTAGCCTGAGGGAGTGGGTGGGGGTGGACCCGAAAGCCACGAACGTCATGTCCACCGCGACACTGATCGGGAAAGGGTGCAGCGGCTCCGAAGATTCCTTGAAGAGTCTGCATTAATTGCCAGATTCGCTCGGAGCCACGGAGACGGATCTAGGAAGAACGTGTATACGTTGTTCAGCGCGACGCGAGTGCCAACAGCGCGCGAACACTCTTCGGCAGTATTTATGTAGACAGCTAAATAGATTTCTAATGTATATTAATACAGAATAGCGATATAGAAAGTGAGCGTGATTACCTCACTAGAGTAAATCGATAGAACTGGCAAGATTATCGATTGACAACCGTGAGACTCGGATTTGCGTCGGCAAATCTGATTCTTCTTATATCTACCATCGATCGTTGCGTATACACTGATTGTTGCCAATAGACTGCGGATCTGTGAACATTTATCTGGAATTGCGTAGGGAATTGCACGTAGGAAACTGCACGGAATTGCACAGTCTGATCACCGCTGTTACAAATCACCGCTGACAATTGGTTCTACCGAATAACCGGTGTCAGGAGAGCTCGATTTCGATGTCTTCAGTATTACTGCCAGTTCATTGTTGTTTAATAATTTCTCAACGACGCAAGTCGTCCGTAACACATACTAATATTATTAGCGAACCGATCGATTCTCGTTGATTTAAACTGCGTCACGTGTAATGCAATGTTGCACCGTTTGTCGATCGATTCGAGGAGATCGGGCTCGAAAGAAACTGAAATTCCGTTCGACCGAGAATCGCTGAACTATTAAAAGCCGGCATTCCGCGACGTAATGCGTCGGAAACGCAGAACGATTCGCAGTTTGACCGCGACCGGTCGAATCGATCCGCGTGCAAAACGATCGCAGGAAAGCCCGCGATCGGAGATTTGTTTTCGCGATTCGCTCCGACGACGATCATTTTTGAACCGTCGCCGCCGCGTATCGATCGCCGTCGTTCGGGGATCTATTCGAAATCGGCCGCGCGTACGCGTGGCCGACCCGTCGATCCTGATCGCGACGTAAGGAACGATATCTTCGAAGGCTCGCCACCGCGTTTCCGTAACGCGATCGCGATTTCCCAAGCGCGAGCCGTCTTTCACGCGTGCCTGAGCACTGCTGTCGTATCGTATCTCGATCGATCGCGATCATGCGTCGCTGCCTCTGCCGGCGGCGCACTTGAAAATCATCGAGCTGACGGATCCAGGAGGGCGCGCGCGATTTTCGCGAAACGCCGCCGTCCGACGCGATCGAGATCGATCGCGAACCGATCTTTAATTAGTTCGTAGTACATGTTTCGATCGCAATTGTACATAACACTGGTGCAATAAATTCATTGTTGTTAAAAATGGTCTGTTCATTTTCACAATGATTTAGATGTCCGTTGTTTAATCAAGACGATTTTTGGATCAACGTACTAATTACTCTTTTCCACGTTTTTTCAGCGTTCTTTTCGACGATGTTCGGATGATATTCGGCAATTTCTTTCGTGAAACATTAACGAAAGTTATCGTCGATTTCAATATGTATACAGGGTGTCCGAAAAATGTCTCGCAATACGAAAGTGGCGGGTTCCTCAGGTCATTTGAAGCAACTTTTTCCTTTACAAAAATTTTCTCCGAGGCACCGTTAACGAGTTATTAACGAAAAACAGTGACCAATGAGAGGCGAGCTCAGCTGGCGCGAGGCGACCGAGCCAATGAGCGGAACTGGGCTTCGTGCGCTGGTTGGCTGGGCCGCCTCGCGTCAGCCGGGATTATTGGACACAAAAATCCCGAAAATGAATTCTACTAGTCTCAGTGACTGGTCCAAAATTTTGCTATCTACCGAGGTGGACCAGTTACTGAGACTAGTAGAATTCATTTTCGGGATTTTTGTCATCTGTCCGGAAATCCATCCCACTAGTCTCAGTAACTGGTCCAAAATTTTGCTATGGACCTAGGTCGACCAGTTACTGAGACTAATGGAATTGATTTTCCGGATTTTTGGGATCTGTCCGGAAATCCATCCCACTAGTCTCAGTAACCGGTCCACCTAGATCCACAGCAAAATTTCACGAGGCGACCGAGCCAATGAGGGAAAGCGGGTTTCCTTCGCTCATTGGCCACCGTTTTTCGCTAATAACTCGTTAACGGTGCCTCGGAGAAAATTTTTGTAAAGGAAGAAGTTGCTTTAAATGATCTGTGGACACGTCATTTCCGAATTGCGAGACATTTTTGGGACACCCTGTATATTCGTTGACATTTTTAAGATACTCTTTTCCATCGAACTAGAAGATAAACTGAAACCGAGTTCTCTTCGTAATAGAAATTCGCGACGTACGAATCTGAATCCTACTTAAAAAGATGCGAAAAGAATGCAAAAAGAAGGCTCCAAGTTTTCGACAGACTTCGCCAGATTAATCCCGTCGTTTCACCGTGCCTTCAGGTTCCGCAGCCAAAAGAAGTCCGGCAATCAGCGTTACCTAATCCATGAAGAATCGAATTTCACAGCGTGTCGTTCACAGCAAAGAAAGCAGCGGCTTCGAAATCGGCGAGATCGGCGAGGAGAGTCGATCACGAGTGCAACGAAAACACGATTACGATAACATTCGACTGCTAGGTTCGTGGATCGACAGATCGGCTTTTCTTTCGTGGCGCTTGCGAAAGTTCGTCTTTCAACGGAGGTGAAACTGCGAAAGAAACTCGCGAGCATCTCGCGCGATTAGGCGATCGCCGGCTTAGCATCGAATCCACGCCGCCGGCCTCGTTAGCGTAATTGCGCGCGGATTATCCGTTTCGCGAGGATCCATCGCAGGAAATTGATTTCAAAACCGCGATGTCAGTGCGATGCCGCGTTCGAAGTTGCACGCTCGAGAACCGATTCCGCCTCCGTGCCGGAAATGCACCGATCGACGAACAGCTGTAAAATCGCTATCGATCGCAACGATCCACCGTGATTCATTGTTAAACGATCCGCGGATCTTTCCCCGGCACGAATCCCGCGGTTAGATCGCGCGATGATAGAGGTCGTTCGACTAATGGCCAGCGATTTCATCCGATTATTGATCGCATTTTTATGCTAATCGATTTATTAGCAACCTCGTCACGCGAGTTCGCCTCGGAAATTTCGGAACGGATGCTTTCGTTTTCTTTTTTTTTCTCGCTGTTTCGACCTGTTTCCTCGGTGCACCTTGTTGCGAGGGTGCTGGAGTGTAAATCGAATCAGCGGCTTCTTGCGAGATCCCCGCGATTGCCATCGGCCGTTCCTTGTAATCTTTTCTTTCGAGCAAGTAGACCGTGCACAGTTATCGCACGGATCCAGGAAATATTTCTGAGAACGCTTCTTTTTAATTCACCCGTTCCGCCGTGCCGTATTCGACCGACTTTTTTCATTTAAGCCTCCGGCGTTTTGGTTAAAGGCTTCGCGGCTTATCGGCCCGCAATATTTCGTTGCGTCACTAATCCGTATGTAATTAGTACACCGTGTAGACGCTGGTTTACGTAGGTCACGCGCCGAGTAGAAAGTCAACTCGCGTCTACGAACGAAACGATCAAGGGGCTTCGTCGCGAATTTCGATGTTCGATGATCCACAAACTTCGTCGGAGCAGGGATTCGATAGATTAGAGACGGCCGAGGACCCAAATGGACATTCGAAAGCATGTCCGACGGAAGATGGCACGACGTTTAGTCCTACGGGAAATGGAATCGCCGGAGTTCAGCGAGTTCTACGGCTGACTCAACGTCGCTAATCCGTCCGGTAAATGATTAACGAGGCGTCCATTAGATCATTAAGATCCGCGGGATCCGTTTTGTCCCTCACGGAACGGCAACGCTTCAATTATGAATGCCTTTCTTTCCAGAGAGGGAACGCCGGCCTTTGTCTGACCGCGGTCGTCTGTATCTACTTGCGATCTCGAACCGCTTCTGACAGCGCTCTCTAATTCATAGACCATCGCCCCCTTTCGAAACGAAGCGAAAGAAATCAGACCAACCACCGTAGACACTTCTCCAAGGAAGGCGGGAACATTTTTCTTGGCAATTTTTTACTGTAATTTGTCGCTGTACTTGTAGCAATTAAACGGAAACTTCTGCACGCTTGGTTCCATGCAATTTTCATCTGTAACTCTTTTATTCAATTCAATTAAAATTGCAAGGTAAAGTTGCATGGCATCGATTACTCTTTCAGCATTTTTCTAAATCTTGACAATAGCAAGAAATTACAATTGATTAGCGTAAAAGTTAATCTCAACTCTTAGTAAATAATTTCGTCAACCATTTATGTATGGGTCGCGCGGCAGTCAAAGTGTTAATGCGAGTTAAAAGATTTTCCACGATTCCCAGCTGTGAATTAGGGATCTATACTTGGTCGAATGCGTCGAGGTCATTTTGAGCAAATAACCTTAACAATTTTTCATTGTGATTTATACTTGCAGTTGAACAAATTCCATGTTTTTGCTTTTCTCCGCTCAATTTCGATCTCCAACATGAAATCGGAAATTCTTTACGATCTCGGGGATCGAACAGATCTAGATTCTATCGAAGTACTCTCTCCCTCTCTCTTTCAAGATTTGCTTCAACACTTTCGTGAAAACCGAGGAAATCTGTCTCGTCTGTTCAAGTTCGTCAATATCGAACTCGAACGATTATAAATGGATTCTCCTTTATCTCAGCTGGCTGTACGGCGATCTACGGATCTATCGTTCGGGAGATCTCGCAGAGGGTTCTAGGGCACAATAGACCGGAAGCAGAACCGATACAATTACCGCGAATCGACGTAATTGCGAGTCAGGGACGGCAAAGCGGTTAATAACGGAAGATACGGAGGGAAAGCAACAATTGGCAATCACAGACGTTGCTTCGTGTCTCGACTATAAAAACCCGCATGATTCTGCGGAGAGCGAGAAACAGGGAGTGATACGGAGAGAGAGAGAGAGAGAGAGAGGGAGAGAAGCACCGGGTCTGAGGACCGCGAGGTGCTCGCTGCGACGACCCGCAATCGGTATCGCTAACTTCCAGTCTGCCGAACAAACCTCCAATCGATCATCGGGCCCGTGCATTTCGCTGGTTTCCACCGAAACGAGTTTATCGGAAGCCCGGCGAATAAGTAAACACCTTGGTTCGGTATGGGGAAACTTTGGTGATCGGATTATGCGCCGGTCGACGTTCTCTGCCACTTAAACGACGGCCATTTTGTCGCTCGCGCGACTCTTCCTTTAAAATCAGTTCCGCAGAAAATTCTGTCGCGAAATTTCGCAACCAGTTTCACTATATTATTTAGGAATCACTGCAACTGTTGGCCATTTCAACCCGCATCGGATTAATTTATTTATCTTCCGTCGAGATCAAAAACTGGTTCTGATGCTGTTCCGAAGCTGAATTAATGAAGTCCGATTCAGGGATAATTACGGGCACTTCGTCGGAGATTACTAGATTCTACCGAGAATATATCAGATCACGTGATTTCGTAAGTGGCAGAGACACGAAGGCAAATAATCCAACGCGGCGCACTACGGTTTATATCGATATTTAATGTGCCGGTAACGTAATCGCGATTAGATATTCAGGTGGGAACGAGCCAATCTGACCGGTCACAGTAATAATAGCCTCGGAACGTAGCCAAGCAGGTAGCTAATTAAAGTTAGGCGTTTCCGCGAACTCGATTAGCCGCCTACGCCTGGAATTAGCTCTCCCACGGAATTACTGGTCGGATCGCCGAAAAACACTGCCGATCTTCCGATAGATCGATAATCGGCATCCACGGTGCGGTAGAAGCGCGTACGGCAGAAGCTTATCGAGCCAGTTCCGATATCCTCGCGGATCGAGCAGCAATCCCACGTTGCTAATACTCCGCTTATCACGCGGAACTTGTTATTTTCGCGCTGCCGCGTATTATTTTCTGGTTACGTAATGAAATTAATCGCACGTGGTCCGACGTGCGCCGTGAACCTAGTTGGTCGCTGGACCGTGAACCGGTCTGATGAAAATATCGATAGGCCCTTTCTTGGTGACAGCTCGGCAACTTTTCTACACGAAACTTAATGGAGCATTCCGTGCTCTCTCATATCGAAATATTTTGCATGCGATGCTCATTTGCATCGACAGAGTAATTATCTTCGTTTCTAGATCGTTTCCTTGTAAATATTCGGCACTGTCGGTCGGAGAGCTCGCTTCTGCTAATTACAGTCAATTCTCCCTAATTGATAACATAATATAATATAATATGATGTAATGTAATGTAATGTGTAATGTAATGTGTAATGTAATGTAATGTAATGTAATGTAATGTAATGTGTAATGTAATGTAATGTAATGTGTAATGTAATGTAATGTAATGTAATGTAATGTAATGTGTAATGTAATGTAATGT